AAAAAAGAAAGAGAATTAAAAATAAAATAAGATGCAGTGATAAAATATAGGGTGTTCCATTTAAAAAAAACTGAAATATAGATATTTGAAAGTTGTAATAATTAAAATATTTTATAAACACTCTGTATCTGATAACTTAATTTCGTTTATGCCAAAACAAATCGCGTATATTTATTTATCTTTCCACAAAATATTGTAATACAGATTTTAAAAATAACCCTACTGCGATTTTTTGTAAGCCCTATTGCTAAAAGTTTCAAGAAAATTGAAATAACGTTTCAACGTCGCATCGGAAAATAAACTGTGGTTATAGAGTCGAAGAATAGGTTAATCAAAATATCTAAAAATCAGTGAGTATAACGAATCAAATCGAAAAATTGAAAAACTCAAAAATCGAAAAAAATATGTAATCATCAAAATTGTAAACTCGAAACCCTGTAACATTGAAATATCGAAAAATTGAAAAAGTAACAACCGAAAAAAGTTAATGAATCGAAACATTGGAAAGAAAAAACGAATCGAAGCGAAAAATTGAAAAACCTGTACTTCAGGAACAAGGAAAGTTCAGTTTTAAACAATCTGTTGATCCCCTCGAAAACATTGGTGACGTCATCTCAAAGTTTTGTCGGCTATAAATGAAATAATATATGTATTTATTAAAAAAAAAATCGCAAAATCAAATCTTATAATTTTTTTAAAAATCTGGATTTATTTACTTACCTTCGACCCATTTTTTGATATCACAATTTTTCGTTTTTCCCTATTCTTCTATTTTACAATTTTTTTTAAATCACAATTTTTCGTTCTTACATTTTCCATTTTTCACCGTTTCGGTTTCATTTTTCGTTTTTCCAATTTTTCAATTTTCGACTTTCAAATTTTTCTTTTTTTCAGTCTCTTAATTTTTCATTTTCCTGATTTTTTAAGTTTCCTTTATTTTTTTTAATGTTTCTTTCGATTTTATAATTTTGGGGTTATTCAATTTTTCAAATTTTTAATCTTTGGTTTATCAGTTTTTGGAGTTTCCAAATTTAAAATTTTTCAATTTTGCAATTTTTTAATTTTTTGGTTTTTCAATTGTTCGTTTCTTCAATTTTTCCAGTTCTTGATTTCCAATTTTTAGATTTTTCAAAGTTTTCACTTTATACTTTTAAGTTTTTTCAGTTTTGATTTTTCAGTTTTACAATTTTGCAATTTTTTCGGAAAGTTGAAAAACTGAAAATCAAAAAACTGTGAAAAATTTAAACCCTAATAAACGAAAAAAACCAAATCGAAACCATGGAAAATCGAAACATCAAAATTGTCGAGTCGAAAAACTGTAACATATAAATAACCAAAAACTAAAAAATGGGAAAAATTGAAAAATCGAAAACGTGGAAAATCAAAAAATTGCAAATCGAAGACCTGAAGTAACGACAAATTGAAACATTGGAAAGAAGAAAAAATGAATCAAAGCGAAAAAGTGTAAAATCGAAGAGATGAAAAATCGAATGAGTGAAAGTTTTAAAGTCCATTAATTGAAAAATGGAAAAATTTAAAGTGTTTTTTTTAATTTATAATTATGTTTACATATTTAAAATAAAAATTAAAAAAATTGACAATTTTCACGTTGAAAAAGAAAAATTATCAGGACATTGAAAAACCAAAAAATTGAAAAAAGAAATAAAATAAAAAACTGAAATGAAAAATTTTAAAATGAAAACTGAAAGAGTTGCATATCGTAAAATTGAAGAAACAAAAAAAAAATGAAAAATTGAAACAAGAAAAAATTATAAAATCGGAATTTGGAAAAATCGAAAAAGTGAAAAATTTAAACTTAGAATCTCGAAAAATTGATAAGCTAAAGAATTTAAGCCACTGGTTTTTACAATTTTTATAATTTTTTAAAGAAACGAGATTTGTTGGGCTGTACTTCAGGAGCAAGGGAAGTTCAGTTTAAACAATCTATTGATCCCCTCGAAAACATTGGTGACGTCATCTCAAAGTTTTGTTGACTATAAATCGAATAATGCATGTAATTATTTATAAAAAAATAATAACAGAAGAAGATATTAAAAACAAAACTAAAAGGAAAAAAGAAATATGAAAAATTATTTAAATAAATCAAAACGCAACAGAATTATAAAAAGTACAAAAAACAAAGATTAATCATTAAAGGAAAAATTGAAGAAAAACAGATCTTACTTAGCATGGGAACATTTTGGTGTTTGAAATCCAAGATTATGTAATTAATAGATGGCAAGAATACTGTGATAACCCAAGCATCGCACCTAAATTAGAACAAATTCCAAACCCCGCGTTGCGACAGCGGCGCGAAGGGCATCGTAGAAGTCTAAGGATGCAGCCAACTAGATAGTTTGATTCACTAGGGTTGAAAATCCAGTTTTATAGGTAAACATTCACTTGAAAACGACAAGGAGCGAAAAGTTCTCCGTCGCGCCAGGCGATCCCGTCCGTTTACTTCGGTTAGAGTTAAAAACTTCGGAATTTTGACAACAGCAAAATAAGTGTTATATTAGAAGAAAGGAACCAAGCAAAACTAAATTTTACCACACTCTATCAAGAATTTCATACAACAATAACAGTTTACATGAGATACATTATGCATTAATTCAAGTTAATAATGAATTCAAAATAATACTTCGGGAATAAATGTTCAAATTCAAGCTACAAGAAAATAACATATTAAGATTAGAAAATCACTAATAAACTGATATTGCTCTAATTACGCTCGAAACTGCGAACTGTGGCGTCGAATGCGATTCATTTTTCGTACAAAAAAGCTTACAAGACCTTACCAGAAGGAAATGACCTGTTTTAATTGTTTATAAGTATAATATTTTACTAACTATTGTAGGTCATGATAGCTATTATTAATTTTCAAGACGTTTCAATTCTCTTATACTATAACACAAAGAAAATAAAAAATTGGGAGCACAGGATTTGTCATAATTTAAGCACCCATTCAACCCGAAAATCCCATTTTTTCACATGTCAAGTGAACGTTGTCCCTCGAATTTTGATAATTAGCCACGGCGTGTGAAATATGTTCAAAAGCTAACTTCTGGTTTCAGAGAACGTTATTAATGCACAGTGTCGGACGATATTGATGAGGTACTGAAAACCAACAAGTAGAGAGCAATTTAGTTAATATCTTGCGCAACACGCAACCGTTACAGGATCTAAATCATCTGATAGATGGCAATATTCAAATGTATCGATAGCTCCTTTTGGTCCCGTAAATTAATAAAAAATTCTGGCGCCCATTTCTCCATAAATCTTCCGTTTAATAAACACCTCATACCTTTCACACCTAATTTCATTGGTGAAATTCTTGCGCCAAATTCCTGGATTATCATGCGATTCCAAAAGATCATCACTTCATGTCGATCCCAAAAATAATATTTATTTGTGTCCCAGGGCTACGCATTCATAAGTAGTCGGAAAGCGGATATCAATGTGATCAGTCTAATTGGTGCCGCCAAAGCAGCAATCAAAATTAAAATGAAGCGTTTTGCACAAAAATCCATTAAAATATTTACGCCTGACATTTAACCTGAACAATTTTCATTAAAAATAAGTTGGTAGCCTTGTTTGAAATTCATTAAATTAGTTACATTGCCACCAATCATTCAGTGTACACTTAGTATTGATCGAAAACGTCTCTGTAAATTATGTGTCGATGACAGCATAATTTCGTCATCCTGTATATTAAGTATAAGGTAACGTGCTTACGTAACCTACTTACGATACACTCCTTGGGGTTTAATGCAAGTTTTTTTATCGCGGTTATTTTGACGTAGAATTTTTTATCTGTTAATTAGAAGGAAAAATGCACCGATTAAACTACCTGGAATAATTCGATAAATATTTCGCTTATCGGAAATTGCCGAGACTTACTAAGGTAATTGGAATTAATCATATTCGTTTAGTTGAGGCGATAAGTTAACAGAACGTGTTTTGACTCGGTAGATCGACATAGTCGAAATAGAGTACTTAATAAAATAAACTAACGACTAATATTTAAAAATTAATTTTTGGAGAAAATTGTCACAAAGTTCACTCGCACCTGCGTGTTTTGGCACACCTGAATCCTAGTTCTGGGTTGATCGTCGTCAATTATAAATATAATTTATGAATTACAAAATTTAAAATTAATTAGTGAATTTTTTAATTACCCAACGTTGAGGTAAAATATGATAAAAATCTGCTACCGTTTTAAGTGAAAAACACATTTTTGGTTTTTAGGTCAGAAGTAGCAATTAAAATTATAAATGTTGTTTCGTTTCATAATTTATCGCTCAGGTAGACTAGTTAATACATGTATTGCATATTATTGCCCATACGCTATTTTGGATTACCTTACGTGCTGAAGTCGTCCACTTTCTCGTTCGTAAAATCAGTGCTCCTCACACCTACAAGACTGTCTCTACTGAAAAATGGCATCATGAACGTGTAAGACATTAATTTTAAAATAAATATTTCTTAATGTGTGTTTTTCAGCAGCGACATAAATTTAAGGATTGCTAAACGCGAGTAAAATGCAGCAAAAACATGTACGTACATATACATACACACTAAGAAGTTTCGGGTGTGCAGTTGGCTCTAAGTTCCACAATTATATATATAATGGACCGTTTTTATTTCATGGTTGTTTATCCGTGACAAATCATTCTAGACAATCTCGTCGTTCGTTTCTGCAAAAGTTTGATTTATTACGTCCCGTTTTATGAGTATATACTTATGTAAAACACTGTTTTAATATGCAGAAACATGTTGTCTCCAATGTAAAAACAATTAATGCCGACGTGAAAAATATTGCGGCTTTAATATATATTTACAATTTGAAATATGACATCATTATATTTTGTGAAACATCTTGTGTGTCATCGTAAAAGTCTGCTAGATCTAACAAACGTTTAAAAAAAAGTGTACAATTTTGTTTTAGATGCAGTTGTTTTATAAATATTTACACTTATGAATGTTTCTTTGTGTTTCAGTTTAATGTACAGAGGCTTCAAGACGCCCATTCCCTCTCCCAGCCAAGTTCTAGTGGAACGGTTAGCGCTAGTGTCGGAGGGTTGGGGGACTCACACTCGGTTTCGGGACATGGTCTTTACCTTCAGGGCTCGGCACATAGTTCAGGAGGGTCCGTTAGTTCGACAGGGGGCGCTTCGCCTACGAGCCCCCTCAGACCGGGTAAGGAAGAAGATTGCAGTTTGCACGGCAGGAGTAGTACGGAAGGTAAATTTAGATGTAATTAGATGATTTTTAGTACAGTGTATTAAAAAAATTAAAGTAAGAGAAAATAAGCAAAATTTAACTTCCTACACTGCATATATTTTAGAATGAGAAAAGTAGATTGTGAACTGATTTAGATATATCACGATGCTTCTATTACAAATGTTTATGCCTCGGCCGATAGCGAACAAACAAACATGCTTGAGACGGACAGTTTCAGTTTCAAATCAGCATCAGAATTTTCGTTAATGTAAAACTGTCTGATTTCACGTCTTCTAGTCTTTTATGAGTCGTAAGATACAGAAATGCAGGTTTCCCGTTTCTATTTGACGGTGTGTGTTGGAGATATATAACCACCTGTTTCTCAGTATTATTATTATTAGAGATAAAAAAAATAAGTTAAAGTCGTATAGCTCTTTAAGTATGAGACACCTACATTATTTATGTACCAAGGCCGTAAAGAGGAACTTTTTCGGCCGATCTGAAGTTTGAGGCTGAGGTGTAGTCGAGGCCTACACACCAGATGAGACCGAAAAAGTTCTCTTTGGCCGTGGTGCATACAACATTTTTTAGGTGACCACATGTAAAAATTCCTAGTTGAGTTTGAAAAACTAATTGTGAAACATTAGTTTATTGAAAAACAACATAAAATTTAAAAATGTAACAATATTGAACAATAATTTATGTTTTTGAGGTTCAAAAACTTGATTTTCTTGTTGGACCAAACCGTGAAGGATTTGCCACAAAATCGGAAGTCTACTTTAACTTTCAATTAAGAGAATGTACAAGAAAGTTTAAAATATACGATCCTTCATGCTTCAGTACTCTTTATAATCGTGACAAATAGATATCTCATCTTATTGTTAAGGGACATAATTTGGTAGGATATAAGAAGAATTCCGCTGGCTAAAGAAAACGTAAGGTTAGCAGAAATGACACTTCAGTTCAAAAAAGTAATTTTGGCAGTTGAGTCCGAAAAAGTAACACTTTACGGCCGCAAATAGAGTCGTACATTAACTCTTTTTATATTGGTCGACTAAAAAATTATTTTCAGCTTGACAGTCTTTTGTTTTTGAGGCATAGCACACAACTATTTTTTTTTAAATATATATTTTGATTTTTTTAGCAATTCAAGCGTTTACAAAAAAAGCAACAATGTCATTTTTAAGATCTGTGTTACAATATTTTATGGAGAAATAAAAAAAACGCACTTTGTTTATAAAAAAAATCTAAAACGTTATAATTTTCAAACATCGATATTTCAGCTTTTTTTCCTGTAGCTAATAAGATGCAGAGAAGATAAAACAGAGTGTTCTACTATAAAAAACCGATATCTCGCTATTTGAAAATTTTAAAAATTATTATTTTTTTATTAACGGTCTGTACGTTAAGACCCAATTGTATTTATACCACAGAAAAGCGTGTATCTGTTGTTTATGTTTCCGCGAAATATTGCAACAGGTTTTAAAAATAATCCTACCTTATTTTCTGAACCCCCCCACAACAATATCTGATGGGAATTTTGAAAATAAACTGTCGTGATTAGGCCTAAGAAGACGTCATCAAGAAGAATACATAAAAACATATAGAGTATTCCATAAGAAAACGAGGTTGAGTGTTACGCCTTAAGTTCAGAACACTCTGTACAGCTGAAAATAGTTTTAGTGCTTAGTGTTCTCAAAGAACCTTTAGTTTTTAGCATGTTTACTTCCGGAGTGTCAATTAAGAAAGTATTGTAATAGGATCCATCCGACGAATGGCTATTTTCAGGTTTTGTCTACGTTTTAAGACCTCTGGAGTCTGAAAAAGTAAACTACAAGACCGATTGTATATGTTAGGAATATTAACTAGAAACACTAATCAAAATTTTTCTGATCTTTCTTTTTTCTTTTTTCTGGATTTGATGACGTTTCCTCCAAATTTTTCATCAGTACTCCTGTATTTGTGGTTAATGAATCCGCCTTGAGTTTTGTTCTCAGGCATTCAAACCTTCACAAAAAAATCCAAATTGTATATTAACCTTTTAAAATAGTACCTATAAGCGGCACGGGATCATATTTCAATGTCAAAACTGTGACTTTTATTATCTATTATTATTATAATTTGTAGAGGTTATTACAGAAAAAAAGTTTTATAATTTTTAAAAAGGAGAATTTGTTGGAATAGGCTTTACCGTAAACCATTTTTTTAGTCGCATTTTTTCCACTTTTTTGTCGACTTTCTTGGGCCATTTTTGCGAGTCTCTTTTTTGGACCTTTTTTATTGTTTTTGTTTGTCGCATTGTTTTTGTCATCCTTTTTTTAACCTTTTTGTTCCATTTATTTCCTTTTTGTCGCATTTTTTCTGCATTATTTATAGATTTTTTAGTGGATTTTTTGGGCCTTTTATTACTTTTTGTAGCTTTTTTGTGTTTTGTTCTGTTGTCTTTTTGTCGCTTTTTTCGTTGTCTATTTTTTTTTCGTTTTTTTCTGTTTTTTGTAGTCTTTATCTGTCCATTTTTGAGACTCCTTTTTGTCGCTTTTTCATGATTTTTGTGTGTCGTCTTTTTTGTCACCTTTTTCTTTATCGTCTTCTTCATTTTTTGTCTCTTTTTTTCCTTTTTTTAACGATTTTTTCGCTACTTTGTAGTATTTTTATTGTATTTTTTGTAACCTTTTAGATGTGTTTTTTGTAGCTCTGTATTGTAATCAAGTCCAACGGGCGACTGGCTACTTTTATATTTTCTCGACGTTTCGTGACCTTTAGAACACGAAAAAATATGTCTCGTGTTTTCGTCTGCCTGTCTGTCTATCTGTTTGCCTTTCTGCCTGTCTGTTTCCGATTTTTATCAAAGTTTGTATGTATGTCATGTAGATGGTAAACCGGTAACGAATATTTCTCTAATCATCCCCACCAGAACATGATGGTATCCCATCAAAATTTTGTACAATAAACCAAGGACGGCTGGGCCAAAATTACAACGTCCACAAACACACTTGACATAGCAAAATAGTTATTTTTAATATTCTCATAATTATCGAAACCAGTTTCTTTATCTCCTTCCATTTGTATCAAATGTATCAAAACTGACATCTACAGATGTAAGCAGAGACCGAAACCAAATCATGACTCATTTAGACGTTTTGTTTACACCGTTGCCATAGCAACCGCACTTCTAGTCGCTGTGTTTGGCTGGAATCGAATAGTGAGCGCTAGTAGTAATTCAATTTTAAATAAAATAATTAATTCGGTTGAATGTTTAATAAAAAATCTAAGCTAATATTTTGTCCATTTTTTCTTAAGAAGAAACTGAAAACATGCTAACTATCCTGTTGTTGAAAGAAAACTTTATGGGTATATTAAAAAAAAAATAGATTAAACCCCACCCACCCGCCCCGATCTCAATTGAGATGAATTTTGCATTCGTTGTTAGACTAAGGAGCGGAGTTTAACTGTAATATCAAAATTTCTCTAGAAAATTCTACTCTTTTGAAAACATATTTTATATGGTAATTTCTTATAGAAAAATGAGGATTTTGCAACTAAGCTCCACCCTTCGACTCACGATGAATAAAAAATTCATCACAATTGAGAAGGGGTGGGTGGGCGGGGCTTATATTTTGTCCATTTTTTCTTAATATACGAAGCATTTTTTCCCAACAAGAAACTAAAAACATGTTAACTATCCTGTTGTTGAAAGAAAATTCTATATACAAACAAAAAAAAAACAAAAGATTAAACCCCACCCACCAGCCCGATCTCAATTGTAATGAATTTTTCATTCGTTGTTAGACCGAGGGGCGGGGTTTAACTGTAATATCAAAATTTCTCTATAAAATTCTACCCTTTTAAAAATATATTTCATATGGTAATTTCTTGTAGAAAAATGATGATTTTGCAACTAAGCTCCACTCTTCAACTCACGATGAATAAAAAATTCATCACAATTGAGAAGGGGTGATTGGGCGGGGCTTAAATTTTGTCCATTTTTTCTTAATATACGAAGTCTTTTTTTCCAATAAGAAACTGAAAACATGTTAATTATCCTGTTGTTGGAAGAACACTTTATATACTAACAAAAAAAAAAAAACAAAAGATTAAACCCCACCCACCCGCCCCGATCTCAATTGTGATGAAAAATTTAGGGAAAGCCACACTCGATCTATTAATAAAAAAAAGTGTTAATGGCAAAACGAAAGATCACGAGCCTTCACTGTAATACATTACTTAAATTATATTATGTCCCGTTTTTTATTCCTTTTTTAGTCCCCTTTTTTTGGTTCCATTTTTGGCAGCTTTTTTTTTCTTTTTTTCTTGGTCGCCGTTTTTTGTTACTTTTTACTGCTTTTTTGTATTCTTTACCCATAGTTTAACAATTCACACAAAGCCTTATTTTTTATCTTAAAAAAATCGAAAAATCAAAATTTGTAATTTGTTTCAGAGACCAGAGACTTTCTGACTTAATGACTTTAGACCAATTTTTTTATATTTCTAATAATTATTGAGATATCGAAAAATCTTTTACCTAAAAAGTACCTTTTTTTTGTACAATATTTTCTAGACTTGAAGTTCAAAATTTCTGCAACTTTTCACTTTTCTAAGAGCAACACCAAAATATCGAAACAAACGGAAAAAAACAATAAGATTTAGTAATAAAATATATTTGAAAAAAAAACTGAAATGTCATTCCTTGAAAACTATAACATTTTGGATTTTTTATTAATACGTAAAAAATACTTTGTTTTATTTACAACACAAAAAACTTGTACCTACCTTTGTTTGTCTGTCTGTAAAATATTGTAACACAGATTTTAAAAGCGATTTTGTTTATTTATTTATTTTTTTGAACTATTGAAATGACTTATCAATGTCCAATTAAAGCGCGTTAAAATATATCAGATATTTTTTTTAATTAAAAAACTCAGCGATATTACGTTGAGCTCCAAATGCGGAACACTCTGTATGGTTAAAAATAATTTTATTTTAGTGAATGCTGCTCAAAGAGCCATACAACTTTAGTTTTT